TATATACATAAATTATATTACATTACATTAAAGTGCATCTATCCCCCTACCCCAACCCTAACCCCTAACTCATTACATTCATACATGTCTCTTTGAAAAAAAGAGCTAAATGTTTCTCAAAATTTTAGTAAAATCCGAAGAAAAAGTCTAAAGTTAAAGCTTAAAAAAAAGCACTTCATTTTCATCCGAAAAGAGGGTGTTGTACTCATACCGCAAATTGTTTTCGTCAGATTTCCTGCCACAGCCTCACAGCGCCGCCATCAGGCCTGGCATGTACATTACACTTGTTGTTTATCGTGTTGTTTTACATTACTCTCAGTTCAATTGTATTCAGGTTTGTGTGGACGGATACATTTACAAAGCCTTTACTGTCTCTATGTCATACAGTTTCAAAACCTCAAGTCCTTTCATTGCTGTCTGGACTGGGCAATTATATATTTTTTCTTATCTTTTTTGTATTTTGTCTGGCCTGGAAAATGCCATCTTCTATGTCCTCAAAGCAGTCGGACAGTCTTTGTTCTGGCCGGGCATCAGACTCGAGAGATCCAATAAGACTGTTCTCCACATTAGATTAGTCTGTACTCTGAATACCTCCGCTTTGCCTGCTCCTGACAGCCTTCTTCAGCCCTAGTTCCAACAAACGCAAACACGTGGACTGAAGGCTTTTCTCAAGGGCAGCTGTCGGAGCGGTTCTGGGCTCACGCCAAAGTGATGGATGGGCCTGGACCAGGGTTCAGAAAAAAACTCCAGCTCCCATGAAACCTCACAGTAACACTCCGCTTCAGCCATTAGCACCAGCAGCATTCAGTCAAAGCAGGGAAGTAATACCCTCATTACGCACCGTTTAGGGGCGATTTCCATTGAAAAGAGGCGCTTTCACTCGGATCAGAGATGGACAGTTTGGTGCCAGTGGTTGGTGTATGTTTGCCCGATAATTGATCCCATGTGTGAGCTCTCCCACTGAGTTGTCAGCAGGACTACAGTCTTTGTAGATTGATTTATGTTTGGAAAATAACCTAAAGGAGAGCAGCCAAAACAGCATTAGACTGCTGTAAATGGTCACATTTATATAAGGCTTCTGCATTGTCAAGGCACTCAAAGCTTCACATCAAGGAAACAAGCTTTGATGTGAAAGTCCAGACCAGCCTCGAGGTGGGTTAAGTGTCTTGCCCAAGGACACGCAATAGCACTCAACAATGGGAACAAACATTGATGTACATGTCGAGGGCAGGATTTGAACTCCAACTATTAGCTTAGAGAACACACGCACCAGCTCAGCTCTTACCCACTGCAACTGTAGAGACTTACGCAGAGAACCAATCTAGTTCCGGTTCTCACATTTTCAGTCCGTCAGGTATTCAGACCTTTAGAAAGTGTTCTGTTCCCCCTGGGTGACAGCAACACCTTTGGGAGACATGAGATCCGCAAGCACCTTTCCCACAGGCCTCATACGTGGATGCTGTAGAAGTGTTTTAGTGGCTTTTACAGATAATGGAATCTAAGTGGAAGAGACGTACTGTGTGAGCTCTGACACAGCAGCTGCAGAGGTTGAACTAGTGACATCACACACACACGTGATCATGAACTCACTTGAAGCCTGCACACACACACACACATACCCTCGTCATAGTGAGGTTTGTTGCGAGATTGTAGTTAAGTACCTGTAGAAAAAAACACTGCAAAAAGTGATCAACATTAAGTCAAAAATTGCTCAACTTTTGGCAAAATAATGAGCATATTCTGACTGCCTTAAAACCAGATTTGCCAATAGGAAAAAGCTAAATTATTATTATTATTTAGATACAAGAAATGTCTCCCTTGGAATTAGAGAATACAGCAGCAGTTCATGAAAAAAGACTAAATGACTTTGTCCCATAGGCAAATCTTGTTTTAAGACAGTCCCAATGTCCAAGCAATTATCAACTCATATTTTATAATTTTTTGCAGTGTGGCACATATGTGAAGTTTGAGGGGCTGCACAAACACATGAAAGACGGACATTTCTAAGTTTTCAGTTGCCGAGATGGAGATCAGACTTTCCAAATCCACCTGAGGACTTGACTGGGACACTGTGCTCCAATTACCGAAAACCTAGACCACCAACAGCATGAGTGCATACATGCTATTTATTGCTCTTATCTCTCTTTTTAATCCACATTTTAATAAGAGTTTTAAGACCAATACTTGTATGCTCCTGTTTTAATCTGAAATTATTATTCTTACACAGATCAGAAAATCCAACACCTTTGCTCCAAACCCTGTCAGACAAGTTTTATTATAAGCTTCTTGCAGAAAGTCTGGAAGGAGTCGGGAACTCTTCTTCCTGGGAGCAGTGAGGCCTTTTAGGGACACTGTGATGTGACAACTCACTGAGGAGATGAGAGGTGGCAGCTTCAGTCTGTGCAGCACATGTTTCTGAGACATGGGCCAATCAGAACAGAGAGGAAAGAAATGTACACCCACACTGCCCCCTCGTGGACAACCAGGGACCTGCCACCTGCTGGTATGGACTTTTATTAACATTTATGGACAGTTTATGGACATTTATCTGCCGCTTATGGATCGATGGCTCCATGTATTTTTATCACTAGATTTGAATTAGACGTGTTCATAAAGAAAACCGTTCCTTGGAAGGCGAGCCAAGACTGATGCGGATTAACCGAACAAAGGCACAGTTTTGGAAAATATGTTGTAAATGGCAAAAAGTTGGCATCTCGTTGTAGATAATTCTTTTAGTAGTCTATTCTGTGATCACCTAATTGTTTTTTGTCAGGGTGGGAGTGTCAGCATCCTTCGGGACTCTCCAAATGATACAATTGTTGTTGCCATTGACGATAACCATGTTAGACGTTTACAACATGTGTTAAGATCCGCTTGATGTGTGTGTTTACGGCTTTACAAGGAACTATTGTGAATGTATTAAGAAGGAACAGGGTGATAATGAGCAAGACAATTCATTAAAGCTGTGGTACCCAACTTTGAAATCACAAATAAATTAACTATAATAAAAAAATTAAAAAAACATCTAACTATAGTACCTCACTCTGAAAACTGTTGGAATCTATCACTATTTTCCACATATATAATAATAATGAAAATCTTTATTTGTATAGCACTTTTAAAAACAATGTTTACAAAGCGCTGAACAGTCAGCATGATAAACAATAAAACAGTCATAATGCAAAGTCAATATAATTAGATACAATGGATACAGGAAACTCAGACAGAGCAAAACACAAGAAGAAAGACATAACAAAGACAAAGCAGACATTAAAATACAGCATGTGAAGATTAAAACTAACAGTTAAAAGCTGTTTTATAAAAGTGGGTTTCTATATATGTAAAATAATATATATATATATATAGTCCTTATTTTGGTCACATTTTCAGATCAGTTTTTGCAGTGAAGGAGAGAGCACCAACTCTCACTCAGCCAAATCAGACTTTCTAATCTTTCTAATCACATTAGTCAAACAAGAAGCATTCATAAAATGATGACAAAATATCTGGACATTACAGAAAAATCCAACAAGCTCAGAGTCAGTGGGAGAATGCTTTTCCTGGGCTGGTTAACAAAAGTGGCAGATATCAGATGAATGAATCGGTGTTGAATTTGAATCGAATTAAAAACCCGGACATTGCAAATTAGCCTTGTCTCAGTGTTTCACATGTTGATCGTGAACACTTGTCTCTATCAAATACATGAATACATAAACAAATAGAATACAATGTAAACAGTGATGACACAGTCTGGAACATTCTCCTGGAGCTACTCTGACCAAGCAAAGACATTTTCAAGGACTTCCAGAAAAATAGCTAAAATCAAATGAATGTGGAATTCATTTAATCAGTTTTCTTTTCCTTTTTCACAGAATCTTTGTCATTTCTCTCAATTTATTTCTCACGGTTCTAGTGAGTGGAAATGCAAAGCCAGGGAGGCTGTGGTCAGTTCAGACTGTTGTGTTGTGAAATAGAAACAGGGTACAATCAAGATTAAGAGATTGAGATATTTTTTATTCATTCCACAGTGGGGAAATTTCAGTGTTGCATCAACGGTCACAGAACAGTAGGAATGAGGAGCACACAGCACAAGATAAATGAACAATAACTCTAAACTAAAATGTCAAACTTCAGAATGAGAGAAGCAAGTATCAAAGCTCTCACTTAAGCATAGTAGCAAAGACATTCCTCAATGGAAAATTCATCAAAATCAAGTTTGCAGAAATTTGAAAATAGGAAATAGAAAAAGTTAAGTCTTTTGTCCAGAAGTATCCATGCAACAGCGCAGAAGTTGATGAACATTAACAGTCTATAACATGAACTCGAGGTTGTGTCGAGTTTTACTTTTTCTCCAAATAAATGAGGGTTAGGTTTATCTCAGTCTAACACTTTTAGACTTTAAAAACTGTCAAAACTCGTTCTTTGGACTTCAGTCGCTTTGGTCATCAGTTAATATTTTCAATGGATTTGAGTTCAAACTACATCACACTGGTTATTGTCAGCTCCATCAATCCTCGACTTTGGAAAGAAAGAATCAGTTCAGTCTGTTACAAAATGCATTCGCTCTATTGGTAGACTGCGTGTCCTCTGAACTGAAGGTTGGAGGTTCAAATCCTGCTCCCGAGGTCTTTGAGTGGTCAAATCGACGGGTCCACAGGTTGGCAGGTGGTAAACCAGCTTCCGTTGGTGCCATTTGTTCTTGGGCAAAAGTATGATACAAATTTGACCATTCAATGAAAGTCTATTTGTGAAATCCAAACTTTTTCGACAAAAAGCCTTGAGCCGTCCATTCAATAACAAACGCTCTTATTTGCTCCATAAATAGTCTTCTTCTTGAGACAGAAAGTAAAGTTCAAACCGCTTGTGATCTTTATTGTGATCTTTGCGGCACACAATGACTAATAATAGTCTGTTTGTGAGATTGCGGAATCATCCAAAAGCTCCTCTTATTGACTTCACAGCTTCAAGACCGATTAACGTCCGATTTCTTTGCGGTGGAATCAGCGGGTGCTCCTCCTGAGGCTCTCCAGGGTGCGCAGGTAGCAGCGGTGGGCCTGGTCCTGCTCCAGCTCGGTCCCGTCAGCCTCCTCGTCTTCCTCCTGGATGATGGCGCACTGCTGGCACCTCAGCCTGGGCTCTCTCTGCACGGCCCGGCACACGCACTCCGCGGCCGCCTCTGCCAGCAGGCTCTGGGGGAACTCCTCCATCACCAGAGGGAGGAGGTGGGCCGGGAGGGTGTCCATGCAAGTCGCCATGGGAACGCTGGATTAGATGGTTGAGATGTGTCTGAAGAAGAGACTGGTCGTGGTGTGCGGTTGGTGAGAACGGAGGCTTGTTTATATACACGTCTCCTGCCCACTGCCTTCTCCCTTTTGGGCTTCCCTCTCCCACAAGCAGACCGTGACTCGCTTCCGGCTGCTTCCATAGCCGACCAACGGAATAGCCTGTTGCCAGGGTGACGGGCTGCATTTAGGAAGAGTTGGAGACAGGAACAGACTGTGTGGAAGAAGTAGGGGACATGCCAATGACGTAACACGATGGGCGGACAGCCTGAAGTGAGATGAGATGCAAATGGGAAATAGAAACGGATCGCTCAAAAGAGCAGGGGCAGAGCAAATACTAACATTAACAAAAGGATTACCAGCGCGTTATAAAATAGAAATAGAGGTGCAAGTAATGTTTTTCTTCCACTTTACCCAGGCCAAGGTGGCAGTCTGAGCAGGGACTCCTGGACACTTCATTCTCATCCAGGGGGATTTCCAAGGTGTTCCCAAAGAACCAAGAGACAAAGGGCTTCAGTTTTTCCTGAGCCTTCCTCAATGTCTCCAGATAACTCGTCTTGATGCAGACTTGAACCACCAAGTCTGTCGGCTTGCATCTGTGGGTCATAACCTGAAGCTCCTGACAATAAACGAGGGAGGAAACAGAGGAAGTTTGGATTCCTTTGGATGTTATTATAGTCATCACTTTATATATCATAGTGATAATAGTATATAGTTAATCACCCGCCCCGCACACTGAGGTCCGAGGGCCAGCACCAGCACCAGCTCATGGTGCCTTAGACCAGACTAAAAACCCGGGGGCTTGGCCTTCTCTGTGGCTGGACCAAAGCTCTGGGATGTTTTAAGAAGCCTTTTTATTCTCACTGCGCGAGTTGTGTGGTCCTCCATTGTTGTTTTATTTATTTAATTGTGTTTAGTTTTGCTTTTATTTTTATACTGGATAACTGGTATTGTTTTAAATACAATTAAAATGTTTATACTTTGTGTATAATGTTTTCTTTTATTTTTTTAATCATAATGCTGGCCAACCTGTACATGTTAATTTGATCTCTGTGCAGCACATTGGAAACTTTCTTTTAAACTGTGCTATAAAAAACTGGATTTGAGTGTATCAGGGGCGACAGTGGCTCAGTTGGCAGAGCATTGGCCTTTGAGCCTGAAGGTCATGGGATCCCGCCCATGAGACCTACTCCAACTGCTCCCACTCATGTCTGCTGTCGTTGTGTCCTTGGGCAAAACACTTAACCCCACGTGGCCCGAAGCTCCCGCTGAAAAACCAAGGCTGCATTGACGGAGCAGCCATCTTCCTGTGGACCCACCACCTGCAGTGGATCAGCGAGGGACTGGTGCTCATTGCCACCCCCCGACCCAGAAATTGAATAATAAAGTGATTGAAATGAATGAAATGTAGTAAAAAACATTTTTACAAACCCTGTGCTACCCTTGGGTCAAAATTATTTAAAATTAGAAGAAAAATACCCTAAATGAAGGTCTTAATGACTCAGTGCTGTTCAAGCACTGAGTCAGAAAAATCATAAAAATTCTGCGTGAAAATATTTTCGGTTATTTTATAATCAGTTTGGGGGGTTCACTTTGACCTGAGGACAACCGAAAACTGAACAAAAGAAAGTCATTAAAGTAAATATAACAAAATATTGTCACAATAATTACAAGTTGTCTGGAAATTCTACTGCTAGCTTTAGCCGGTTGCCAACATGATGATGGAGCACCCAAGGTACTGCAGACTAAATCAAAGTGTTTAAGTCCTCAGAGAGAACTACTGTTGTAATTTAATGCTACACAAATATAAGTTTAATTTAATTGAAATCAGATGAATCAGTTTTTCTTTTGAAGACACTGAGCCAGGACTCGTGAGCTGAATCCTGTGGCCTGACTTTAGAGAATCGTGACATCTGTGATTCAGTGTTCGCACCTCCCTCCACCACACGCCTCAGCTTCAGCCAAACTCCTCCATTATTCACACAGACCAACAAAGCTGCATTTAAGGACTTTTATTGCAAAAGAAAAAAGGTCAGATCAGAGACCAACTGTCCGTGCACCCTCCAGGAATGTACAAAGCAAACCATTCAAACACACACTCTAAAGGAATATTAAGTATTAGGGGTCAACTTTGGTCAAACGAACAAGAATGCAGGAGATGACGCTGTTTATGAGGAAAAGTCAAATGGAAGGATATTGTCTCGTCTTGTATTAGTTTAGTTTAGTTTAGTTTATTCACAATTCACACACTCCCTAAAAGTACATGTGCTACATTGTGAAAATGGAACTCCCAGAAGCAGAAGCTTATACATTAGGGGTCCATCTCACTGAAATCTGTATTGAAATGAAACAACGCAAGAAATCAGAAACAGTTCAAGACAAACTACATTTGTACTTAAATATCCACAGAATTTGATACAATAACTTATTTCCCTTGGTTGGTAAAAACTTTTTTTTTTTTTTTGAAATTCAGGTCAGTTTTATAGACGTTTTAGGTTTGTCTTGATCCCTAAGGACAAAGGTAGCGACTGTTCATATAAAATGTTTATTCATAAAATGTTCTTATTCGAGTCAACACAAGTTAGAAAGCAGTGACATCATACTTTTAGGCTCACGGGTCAAAACGTTTATGTGAATAGTGTATTTTGATAGATATTTTCTAGTAATAAAATCCTCTTGTTTATGAGCACGTGCTGTTAGTAGCTTTTTCCTGGTATAAGTATGTCGAGTATGTAAGCAGGATGGTCCGCCCAACTGTGTTTGAGATCAGACTAAAATCCCTTTTTTTACACCAAGTTAGATTCACACTGAACAGAAATATAAACGCTACAAATGTAGTTTACGACAGAGGAAAACGAGTTGGTTAAGCAATCTTTTCAACTTGTTGACAAGATTTTTTTTTTCCTGGTTGGACAAAGTGGGTAACATACGCCAAGGCAAAAAAGTAACGTGGTATTTATCAGTCACTCCCTGTTCCCTTAATTTTTCTTTCTACTTCCTGTATAAACTATGGAGAAAAAAAAACTACTACTACTACTTTGTTCTGTGAATGTTGTGTTTGTTCAGGAATTTTAAAAAGTTTGATGGATGTTTCATATTGTTTAAGGCTTAACCTCAAAACACAATTTTTCTAGATACATATGAAAGACGAACAACGTAAATGTTATATTTCCACATTGCGCTCGTCTAACTTGTTGTCAACTGTCACATGAATATTTTTATCCATAATGAACCATGTTCCAAATAACAATCTACTAAACTAGACTTTGTTAGGTTCCACCGCTGCTCCTTTGCTCTCATGTTATTCTACAATGATCACCGCTAATTGTAAAACGTAATTCTTTGTCAATCTGCTTTTCTCGCCATTTTATTTTTTTTAAACTCTACATTAATGCTGCGTTCATGTTTGTGTCTTGAGAAGCTCGTGTGGTTGTCAAGTGTGGGTTGGTCCTTGGTTGAAGCTGGGCCACTCGGGTCTGGTGCGGGGGCTTGATCCGGGGGTCTTGGTCCCAGATCTACCCGGTCTTCTGCTTACGAAGGTGACGAGCTCGTTGGGACATGTTCAGCCCCATGATGTGAGAGGTGCGGAGGGCGGAGGGCAGCAGCGAGGTGGTGACCCAGCCCTGCAGCATAAACAGAAAAGGTCAGATGTGGCTCTGGTTCTTTTACTTATACGTGAAGTAGCAGAGGTAAAAAAGAAAAAAAGTGATGATTTGTTTGTATTGCGATATTTGGGCCGCTATTTATTGCAATGCACCAAGTTCTGCGTTTCGATTCTGTGATATATTGAGATTCATGTCCTCATATTATTCAAAGACATTATAAACATGGAGGAAAATATAATTTATCATAGTCTGCACATCAGACACCATATACAAGCTGTTATCATAGAGGAACATAAACCTCAGATGGAAGTTACCAGAGTAAACTCAGAAAACACAAAAGTGAAAGGAGATATTTAGTTTAATTCTATAAGTCACTTTGAGTCACTGATGCACTAGGACTGAAAAACCTGCACTACTATTGCCACTGTTTCTTTAATTGCCATTTTGGATTGTACATAATCATATCCTGAACAGACTATATTTTTTCCCTTTAACATGTTTGCAGACTTCTGTCTTTTGCTCAATCTGAGTGATTCTATCTATGCCAAATGTAAACATCTCCAGTGTGAGATCAATAAAGTCCATCTTATCTTAATTAAATATATCGCAATATTTTACTCTGCTGTATTGATTCAATTGCATGCCCAAAATATTGCAATACTGAACAGAATCAATTTTTCCTCACCACTACACGATAGGTTGCGTTCATGTGACATCACAACATTCAAAGAGCCTATTAGTTTAACATTGTGGTGGAGAGCAACCAAAAAATCTTGGTAACTATAGTCACTGTCAAAAATCTGATTTATAATCTTTTATAATTCAGTAATCCCAGGGCCAATTCAAAACAACAAAAGTCATTAAATTCTAACCCTATATTCTAATTTCCCATACAAAGGTGTCATAGAAGTGGTACCAATATTCAAAAACAAATGCATGATGTTGGACAATGGACTTTCAGACATGAGAAAATTATGGAGCTTTGTGAATCTAATGACTGTCAAATAACGATCGGGGAAACATTTGAAAATTGTCTTTCAAAAAAGGATTCTTCCCCACAGAGCTGCCCTCAAACTGAAACAGCTCTGACATGAATGCAACCTCTGGATTCTTATGATTTCATGAAAATGGAAGGTTAAAACCACCCCATTTTCTAATGAGTTAGTAGCACTTTAAGGCGATAGTGATGTCAGCAGCCACCGTGTTAGCACCAGCACCTGGAACCCCGGTGACGCGCTCACAAACCGTGCTGGTGCTGGTGCTGGTGCTGGTGCTGGTGCGGCGGCGGGCTGCGTGTGCCGAGCGTTACCAGAATGGCGTGAGGCAGGTATCCGTTGGTCCGGTCCTGTAGCCCCACGGTGCTCAGCTCGGCCGCCACGTAGCGCTCGGGCGTGGGCTTGTCCAGCGTTGGGCGCCGGATCTTTGTCATCTTAGTGGCAACGAAGAACGGCATGACGCTCTGGAACATTTTAAGACACTGAAGATTATTTTATGCCTTGTAAAAAATATGAGGTTGTATTTACTGGAATCAAATGTTTTTCATCTCAATTTGAGTCTGACTGTGTTAAAACAAGATTTGCCAAAGGGACAAAGCCATTATTTAAGAATTGTTGCTTTATTTTTTCATTCCAAGGGAGACATTATCTCATTAAAACATCAACGATCATTTTGCTTTGTCCCATTTGCAAATCTTGTTTAAGGCAGTCAAAATGTGCTCTTACACCTTGAACCAATGCAAATTCCTTGTTTGTGGCTTCCGGTTACATACAATGGCAATAAAAACAATTCTGATTCTGGAAGAGAAAATGTCGGAACAGGAGGCTGTAATTGTAATTGAGGCTGAGACAATGTCATTGATTAATCGCAACTATACCGTAATTCTCAAGTTATTAGGTGCTACTTTTGTGAAGTGCCTCAAAGGCTGGTTTAAACGGCAAAGTGCAGGATGGTTAAAAGAGACGGGTGGGGAAAATGGTGACGCAGTGGTTAGCACTTGTGCCTCACAGCGAAGAAATCCTGTGTTCACCTCCAGACTGTGGTGGTGGAAAAGAATGTGGAGTTTGCATGTTCCCCCCTTTTCTCCAAGTTTATTGTTAATATTGCAATAAAAAATAAAAATCACCTTTGTACAGTTCAAAATCTTATTCTACACCCATTAATGTTTCAAGGAAAAACCTACTCCTGTGGTTATAGTCTCCCACAGTACTAACCAGGCCATGCCCTGCTTAAAAATACGACTTACTTGAATGATGAGGCCTTTTCTCCTGTATTCGGCTTGGAGACCTAGTGAGAAGAAGTCCACAAATGCCTGGGAAAAGACGAACGGATTATAAATGAAGATCACATTTAGTTTGTTCTGACATTATTTGCTGAAGCATCTGAGCAGGAAATGGATAAACTGTATTGATCTCACAATGGAGGTACAGTAGGACTTGAGTAGTTTTAACTATTTGAATAGATTCATTCCAAATGTCCTGACTGAGGCCGAGACTGAGGCACAGACTGAGGCCGAGACTGAGGCCGAGACTGAGGCCGAGACTGAGGCCGAGACTGAGGCCGAGACTGAGGCCGAGACTGAGGCCGAGACTGAGGCCGAGACTGAGGCCGAGACTGAGGCCGAGACTGAGGCCGAGACTGAGGCCGAGACTGAGGCCGAGACTGAGGCCGAGACTGAGGCCGAGACTGAGGCCGAGACTGAGGCCGAGACTGAGGCCGAGACTGAGGCCGAGACTGAGGCCGAGACTGAGGCCGAGACTGAGGCCGAGACTGAGGCCGAGACTGAGGCCGAGACTGAGGCCGAGACTGAGGCCGAGACTGAGGCCGAGACTGAGGCCGAGACTGAGGCCGAGACTGAGGCCGAGACTGAGGCAGAGACTGAGGCAGAGACTGAGGCAGAGACAAGCGTCTCTGTATTGACCTTGGAGGCAGAGTAGACGGTGAGCAGAGGGACTGGGTACATGCCGCTGGCTGACGACAGGTTCAGGATGGCCCCCTTCTTCCTGGAATTAGAGTAAACATTGTTTTGCTCATTGCTCATCAGTGGTACATGACATGAGATCCAGCAGCTTCTATTCACACACGGCGGGTATGTGGACAATCACATTTTAAACATGTAGCTGGGGCCGTCTAGACACTGGTGCGCTTACTAGTCCACACAATTGTTTGTTGAACTTTCTTCTGACTCAAAAGAGATTTGATGACTTGAATTCTGCAGTCATTATAGAATTATCAAAGTATTAAGCGCTTTGTGACTCTGGTCTGTGAAAGGGGCTAAATAAAGATTACTTACTGATTGTAGTACTAGTAAGACTTAGGGTATATATCGTAGTAGGATTTTCTTCTTCCGGGTGAATCCTCTAGAATAATGGTCCTCCTAATTGTTAATCATTCTGGTGATGCGTTTTAGTTGGCGTTTCTCTGGAGAGGGTGGTTCTTTTATCTTTTATCTAGATGATAAAAATGTCCAAGAGTTAATCTCCAGTCTGAGCTCCTCCACATGCAGCCGGGATGTACTACCCACTAGATTTCTGAAGTCTGTTCTGAGCAGTCTGTTACCTTCACTCACAGAGATAGTAAACATGTCCCTTCATTCTGGAATATTCCCAAAGGCCCTGAAAACTGCAGTCATCAGGCCCCTTCTAAAAAAGAGCAGTCTGGATGCTACGGTACTTAACAACTATCGTCCCATCTCAAATCTGCCATTTATGGGGAAAGTCCTTGAGAAAGTTGTCTACCTACAGCTTACAAGATTTCTTATAAATCAACAACTCATTTGATATGTTTCAGTCCGGCTTTAGACCCCACCACAGCACTGAGACTGCTCTCGTCAAGGTTACAAACAATATTCGGCTGAACACTGACGCAGGCCAAGTCTCAATCTTAATCTTGTTAGATCTAAGTGCTGCCTTTGACACTGTCGACCATGAGATCCTCTTACAGAGACTAGAGGACTGAGTTAGCGTAGCTGGCACCGCCCTAAGTTGGTTTAGGTCTTACCTTAAAGACAGGAAGTACTTTGTGGAGATTGGAAACTATGTCTCAGATCATATGGCCCTGACCTGTGGAGTACCACAGGGGTCGATCCTGGGACCTCTTCTGTTCAATCTCTACATGCTGCCGTTAGGTCAGTTAATACGCAGAAACAAAGTGTCCTATCACAACTATGCAGACGACACTCAGATCTATGTCTCACTGACTGCAGGAGAACATGGACCAGTGGACTCACTCCTTCACTGTATCCAACAGATCAGTGAGTGGATGCAAAATAACTTCCTTCAGCTAAACGCAGACAAAACTGAAATGATTGCCTTTGATGACGCCGTCACGCTCTCCCACCTGGAGCCCGCCGGGAGCGCTGTGAGGGGTCAGGTTTTTTGACTTCTCCAGTACTTTCAATACCATCATGCCGGCACTGCATGATGCCGGCATGCAGTGAAGATGGAGGACGCGGGAGTGGACAGTAGCCTCACTGCATGGACCATCAACTACCTCTCAGACCGACCACAGTACGTGCGGCTGCGCAGCTGTGAGTCTGAGGTGGTAGTCTGCAGCACTGGGGCCCCTCAGGGCACTGCCCTCTCACCGTTTCTCTTCACCATCTACACCTCAGACTTCACACACGACACACGCAGCTGTCACCTGCAGAAGTACGACTCCGCCATCGTGGGCTGTGTGTCTGAGGGGAACGATCTGGAATATCGGTCGGTTATCAAGGACTTTGTCGACTGGTGTGAGCAAAACCACTTGTGCTTTAACACCAGTAAGACCAAGGAGATGGTCATTGATTTCAGGAGAAGACCACTTTCCCACACGCCGCTGAACATCCAGGGGGATGACATTGAGCTGGTGGAAAGCTTCAAGTACCTGGGTGTTCACATTAACAATAACATTTGCGTTTATTGAGCGGCCGGAACTACTTCCGGGTTTTTCACGATCGCTTTTTGACGCAGAGAAATAGTATTTTTGTCATGAAGACAAGACCAGAAAATTCTGAAAATTTCCGTGCACTTTTGTGAAGAATGTATAAGTATTCTCCGATTAACATTTAAGTGTGTTGATTGAGCGTGGCTAGCTCCGGAGTGGCCGGAACTACTTGCGGAGTTAGCCACGCATTTGAAAGACAAGCAGAGAGTGCGTTGCCATGGGCAGCGGTCATTATTGTTTTGAGAGGTCCGTTACAGAAAATAATGACCGGTAGAACGTTTTGAAATTACATTCAAATCAATGGAGCATTCTACTGCTGCTGTGAGGAGCCGTATAATAATATTGTATAATCTGTATGTGGCTGTAATTTTATGTAATTTTTGTACACGAAAAAGAGGTTCTCATTGACTGCCAGCCATTTTTGATGACTTCACTGATTTTTAAGACTCAGAATATTGTGTGCTATGAAAAATATGAAACCAGAGTCTGAAAGACAGGACTGTCTACTTTCAGCAGCAAAAAGAAATTTGTTCTTAGTTGGTTTCGTTCTCCTGTGATCTCCAGTCGAAAAGAGGGGAGTGTGACAAAAAGCACCAGTCTTAGACAAAAAAAATGAGAAAATGAGGTGTTTGTGAAAACAGACGAACTGCAGAAAAGTGATTGTAAAACTATTTAGTTTGACTTTAGCATCTCCTCAAACATGTCCAGGATCTTCAAAAGGAAGTTTTGAGAAAGTGTTTTTAATGTAAAATAATAAGTTTTATGGCACACCCACATCCACAAAGTGTTGCTCGAATGTTTCAAAATGTACTCATCCAAAAAATGTCAAAATGTACTTATTGAAAGTAGAGCCCATGACAAACTATGGCAGATAGAATGGCCAGTATTTATCCATTAGGTGGCGCTATATTTATGTCAATAAGAGTAAATCAAAGAATAACAAAATTACAATGATAAACACTATACATGACAATAAATCAAAGTGAATACTTATAGTATAAGTATAAGTGCAATAGAATACTGCTGTGTGTCTGTGTGTTTGGGCGCGCATGTATGTGCGTTTATGCACGTGTTTGTGTGTGGTTACATCTACAGAGTGTCGTTCTGTTTAGTCCAGCGAGCGCTGTGACCATAATTAGACTTTACCGCTGGCTCCTGGTGTGGACTCAGTGATAGTTTTAGCAATAGTCCACTTTTCTGTGGCTTTTTTGGGGTGCTGGTCTGCTGTCCTGACCCTCCACATAGTCTGCTGCTCTGACCCTCCACATGGTCAGCTGCTATGACCCTCCACATGGTCAGCTGCTATGACCCTCCACATGGTCAGCTGCTATGACCCTCCACATGGTCTGCTGCCCTGACCCTCCACATGGTCTGCTGCCCTGACCCTCCACATGGTCTGCTGCTATGACCCTCCACATGGTCTGCTGCCCTGACCCTCCACATGGTCTGCTGCCCTGACCCTCCACATGGTCTCTGTCAGCTCTGGAGACACATTTACTGCTCAAACAGCTTCCGAATGTAGCCTGAACCTGACTATATTACTCCATGTCTGCTTAACTTCTGTCTCTCCTGCTCAGAGTGATCTTTGACCAAACCAGGGAGTTCTGCTGCCACCTGCTGGCTTAATAAAATACTGTCTACAGCCAAACCCCAGACTGTATGATACAGGGGACACAGACTGACAGTAAAAGATTGAAAAACAATGTTGTCCTCAAATGACATCAATGAGTTAATCTCAATGAGAGTTTCCTGGTAAAATAAAAAATAAAAAGTATTTTTTTGGCGTACCCCCTAGAGGGCGCCTAGTGGTACGCGTACCCCAGTTTGAGAAACACTGGCTCAGAGAATAGACTTTAAAACAGTTCTGTTTGAGTACAAGTCTCTCCATGGCCTCGCACCAAAATATATTAGTGACATGTTAGTACCATACGAACAAGCCCGGACTCTGAGGAGCACAGGGACTAGACTCCTGTTAGTGCCCAGAGTCAGAACTAAACATGGGGAGGCTGCTTTTCAGATTCATGCTGCTAAAATCTGGAACAATCTTCCTGAAGATGTGAGACAGGCCACCTCTCTGACAATGTTTAAAACCAAGTTAAAAACAGTTCTGTTTAGCTGTGCATACAACTGAAGGATTTTATATTTTTATCTTTCTTTTTAATGTTCTGTGATTATATATGATTTTAATGCTTTGTTTTGTTCAGCACTTTGAGTTGCCTTGTGTATGAATTGTGCTATACAAATAAACTTGCCTTGCCTTTCCTTAAAATTCTGGAACATCCTCCTATAGACCTTTAACCTTTGATGTAGCTGTAACCCTCTATATGAATATATTTGTGTCCGTTTCACCTTTTATTTCGAACTGAAAGATAAAAACTCAATTTCCCATGAGCCTTTGCGGTCAGTAACCCCGGAAGTACTATTGCACCATACTGCTTATACACAGTAGCCGCTGGCTGTCATCTAGGTGCGTGGGACAAGCGGGACTTGGGTGCGGCAGTAGGTCGGTCTACCACGACATATCGTGACCATATTTCTGAGATCCTTAATGGGATCGGCCAGGCTTGCTGAAGACTACAAGTCCAGCCCTGCGTCTGTAAGAGGTCTGAACGCTGCCTCTAAAGTGGTTGGTTCTCCAGACCCTGAGCTCTCTCTTCAAATGGTGCGGTAGAAGGCCTGCCACACACTTGTCCCTTGTTTGTGTCCTGGTGTCCGTTCATGTCCCACCACCTCTAGTGTGCGGGACGGAGTTGGATAATTGTTTCCTGGATTATTTGAGGAGAAACCATTTCTTTTCTAACAGACTCTTAGGACTAAGATTTATGGACTATGGACAGACAATAACAGCCAGAACTTGGTGTTCCACCTGATAATGAAGTGGACTATTGTAGATATTGTACATATTCATTTTTTCCTTCAACTAAACTAAACTGGGTGACATGCAAACTTGTGTCCTCTCTTTGTTAAACACAACCCTTTCCCTGAGGGACGAACCATAATAATAATATTTATCTTGTTCTGGTCCATGGACATGGCTTTTGCACAAACTCACCTTTCTACCATCCCGGGCAGCACAATTCGAGTCATCTACAAATGAAAAAAGATCTTATTTAGAAGCTTTTTCAATGACGAGGAGTACTGCATAAATGTTGGCTTAACAGGTGTGTAGGTCAGAGCGGTTAAGTATTGAGGAGTATCCATTGTAATTCGTAAAGCTTCTTTAAGAGAAAACACTGGCAAGGGATATTTTTTTTTATTTGCTTCAAATACTTATTCCTAACTTTGTACCACATTTGTCCCATTCTTTTTATTCACCAGGACTTCAGAGCCCAGAGCACAGTTAGTCTCTATCAGGGAACAGGAGTGAGCCCCATATGGCACCTCTGGTTTCTCTTACAAATAAAGTTCTATTTTATAGATATCTTGATCCAAATGCCCTCTTTCATTAGTCCTGTGTGAACAGGGACTGGTCTTCTGCTGGTCCCCCTAAGAGTACAGGGGCCGTTCTCCTGCAGGTGCCCAGAGTCAGGACTAGAGTAGAGTCAAACGAGACTTGCTTCTAAACCAAGTTTTTTTTTAAAGCTTTTATTCTGTATGCACCTTTCCTTCAGGTTTTGCCAAAATGAATTACTTTGGATATAATTTTGCATGAATTGTGCTATACATGTAAAATATGATTGATAAAACAGGTTGTAGTTTATCAACAAAGCCACAGCAGACTTACTTGACAAACAGAAGTGATGTTGACGTTGATCATGTTGTCGATGAACTGGAAAAGGAACAATTGATATAAGTATCAATACAATGTAAACAATTGAACTTAGAACACATGTATCATAGTAAAGGGATCTTAAACGCCAGTAATAGTACATCTAATATTCTGGGACAATGTTTCCCAAACGGCTGTACAGGGTCCAGGGTGCACATGGGTATTATAAAGAGTATTAGTGTTGATTTTCAATACAAAGCCTTTTTTTACTTTACTTTTTACTATCAAAGACCAGATACATTTTATCAAAAGGGGTAAACAGGGGAAACTCTGGGAACCTTTATTTGCACTATTCCTGTGAACATTTGGAAATTGTCTATGCTCTAAAAGCGTTCACCTGTTCTTTAAGGGAATCAAAAATGTTCTAACATCCTTCAAGCTGCGCAAGAATGAGTAAATTTTCATAATCACAAAACTACTGTAATGCAAGCTTACGGTGTCAAGACAGGGGACTTCGAGGAAGAACTCTGGGTAAGAATAGGAAACACCGACATTGTTCACTGTGGAAAGAACAGTAGTAGTGTGAGGTCATGCAGTACTGAAGCGTGGCCTCCAGGGGGAAGCAGAGACCCAACTAAGAACAGTACAATTACTACAGCAGTCATTTTTTCTTACAAAGGCAATATTAATATGATTATTATATCAAATATAAAATGTACAATATTAGATCATACCTAGAACCCCGATCTCCAGCCCCTGGAGACGCTCCGCAATGTTGTGGTAGATTTCCATCCGGGTGAAGTCTGCAGAGATGGTTTTGGTCTGGACTCCGTATTTACTCTCTGAAGGAAGAGACAGAGACGCACACACGGACAGACGCACACACGGACAGACGCACACAAAAAGTTGCAGGTAAACAGTTCAAACCGTTGTAAAGCTGTATTTGTACTAGGACTGGGAGATATAGTAATCACCCAGTTCGCAGTAATACTAATGGAATTCTGAGGAACGATATCAAACTGAAAAACATTGGGATTTAGGAATATTGTGGAATGCCTATTTTAATGTGGTTACCATCTATTTTAATTTAGCATAGTACATTTGAAAATAAATTAGATTTAATATAATTGATATTGATTGGCTATTTAAAGAGGAGAGGGACACACTAAGCAAAGATCCAGTGTTTTGTTTGTGTAAAGTTAGTTTATAGCTCATTTTATAATTCTGTTACTTACTATTGAACATTAGATTTGGATACACAAGCTAGACTGATTAATTAGGTTTTGGGAAAATAGTTTAGTAGCATAAATGTTGTGGTTTTCTGCTAAAAGATAACATGCCATGGAAACATATTTAGATGCCAGACTTCATTGGGTATAGACTCCTAACTGAAGCTGTATAGAAATGGGGGCGAATTCCACAAGCAATGTCTGAGTAACATGTATTTTAAACTATAGATTTCAATAATAAAGATTGTATTTGCCATTTGCAGTAAAACCACATAGGAAAAACTGGGCAAGACCCAGTGTGCACCAGATAGTACACACCAGAGCTCCTGCCACGGTGACATTTTGCATTTAGTAGTGCATTATGTTAAAATAGTTTTAGGCATGGACATCACACTATTATATATTCAGGTCTGGAAATTAATCAGGAAAATCTGCTATAGTAATAATCACAGTATGAATGTATGAACAGAGAAGAAGGCTGTCCTGCTTCAGTCCCGTGTTTAGTGGATACGTATGGAACAATGCACAGAGTGTGATGCTCACCCACTGCCCTGGCGACCTCGTCCAGTTTGTCCTGCGAGCGGCTAATAAGGACAATGGAGAAGCCACGACGCCCGAGCTGCAAACAAAACACACACTGTTTACACGCAGTCTTTGGGAATCACTGAATTACATTTAAAATAAAGAATATGGATATTCTGTAGCAGCAGTGAACAACGCTCTTTCATTGAGGGCCTGTATTAGTTTGTTTTTGTATTTAAAAATATATATTTTTGCAAGAGCACTGTAGCCCAAACCTAAATGGTTTGGCCCCTGTCTAATAATTTAGACAGAAAACAGATTTCGGTGCAGTCTTGAGTACTGTCTATTGAAAGATTAAGACAAGTTTGTTAAATGCTGTCTAGAGTCTATGGAACATAAGTTAACTTAAGAGTTAAGTGTGCGTTAAGTTTTACAGTAACATATGGAGAGCAGTACCTCTTCTGCGTAGGCCTTTCCGATGCCGTCTGTGGCTCCAGTCACAACTACACACAAAGCACAAACAACGCAAATGAAGCAATATTCATGTTGGGGGGCACTCGTCACTGGGGGTCTGGGATACTGGGGCTCTGGGATACTGGGGCAAAAGAAAATCTTAAAAACCATATCTAAGAAATGCTTGCCACTATATGGGGTTCATTCATGCCATACTGTGAATCAGAATCAGAATGATTTGTATTGTAAGTAACAAGAAGTCACAGACTAGGAAATTGCTTTGAAGGACCAGGAACTACTAGTCAGGTTTGTGGGGATGCCAGGTGCTCACAATAAAACATTTTTTATAGATTTTTTTAATGCAATAAAAACTAAAACAAACACATTTTGAATCCTATTCAGGCCAAAACTTAAGCTTAAAATATACTAATGTATATTATATTTATATTATATATAATATAATATATATAATATAATATAATATATATAATAATATATATATATAATATAATATATAATATAATATAATATAATATAATATAATATAATATAATATAATATAATATAATATAATATATATATAATATAATATAATATAATATAATATAATATAATATAATATAATATAATATAATATAATATAATATATATATAATAATATATAATATATATATATATAAGCAACACAATATTCGAACAAGAATATGGTAAGTAAGTAACTCCACACAGAAAGGCCTGGAGGTGGAATCGAACTACTGTATGGTGAATTGATATGACTGTGCGTTTTTAGGTCAGGGTGGGCTGTTGTCTATTACCTTAAAATGTCATGTGATATAGTATTAAGATATATACAGTACAACATTATCTGTATGGGAATCTCGGGTGAGGGATGTTTAATTAATATGTTTTAAATCAAGTCAAGTCTTACATTTTTCGATGTGTAAGTTAAATACATTTAAAAAGGTGGACTTACTGCATCTACACCTAAAAACACATAGAATGTATATGATAATCAAAAACTAGGGGGATTTTGTCAGACAATCCACCATTAATTTGATTACATAAAGCAAGTTCACTTGATTCTTGCATGAAGGTCGCCACGGGTGAGATGGGTGAAGTGTCCTGACCAAGTTACGCAAGCGCTCTTCCAGCCGAGTCGCCCCATCTCCACAAAAAATATTATGGAGGGTACAGCACAGAGGCCACTCTACAATAAGTAGGCTAAAAATACTGGAGAAGTAGCCTTGGCAAGAACAACAACAACTTGAACATTCTGTGAGAAGGACAAGAGCTCAAGGTGAAATGGAGCTGTACATATGCCCCAGTGGCTTTGAAGGATGGGGCAAATGCAGAGGACCAGTCCCCTACAGGGACAGTAAAGTCTGCCTTAATCTTAAGATGTTATGTTCCCAAGTGTTGGGTCATACTTCAATCTCACAACTACACAGTATGCAGATTATACAGATTATCCGGGGGAATCCCATTCCCAGGCCAGCGAAGTCCCTCAAGTGTGTCCTGGGTTTTCCCTGGGTTCGCTTCCCTGTGGGACATTCCAAAACACCTCAGGCATCCAGGATGCTCAGATCTCATCAGCTCCTGCAGTAAGACCCCAGCACTGTTTGGTTCTATTCTAAAGCTTTATGGGTGTGAAGCATGACGATCACAACAGAAGCCATCGCTGCTGGAGACACGTGTTTGACGGCGGCTGCTTCATGCACAGAAACCCGTTTATTTCGGGCAATACATACACAGCTCTGACTGCCGTCAGGGGCTGGACGAGTTTCAGTCAAGGACTGCTCCAGGAGAACACCCTGCTTTTCCATGGCTCTCATCTCTATACAACAAGAATGTGTTATCAACTTAAAGGACTTCTCGTGCACAATTATTAAAAAGGCTCGACTTGAAATGTGATCAGACCATTTCCACACTGCTGCTTGACAAAGGTTTGACTGCATAAACTTATGCAGTCACTATTCCTGTAGTTTTCATTCCTTCCTCTCCTCCCATCTTTTATCTTTCTTCAGCCAAATTTGAGCGTTTCAAGCGTTATATCTTGCTTCAAGTATTACAAGTTGTACCTTTTCCTGTTTTGAAAGTGTTGATCTTTAGTGTTTTATAGCACTTTGCGGTCACTCACGGATTAAGAAATATACATTAAAGATGGCACTTTTCATCTAAATCAATAAAATAATCCATATTAATACAGATTAAGAGATCCTTTCTTCGTCCCACAGAGGGGAAATATCAATGTTGCACCACCAGTTACAGAACAGTGGGAATGAGGAGCACACAGCACAAGATAAATGAGCAATGGGAACTATACCAAAAATAAAATCTCTAACTTCAGAATAATATCTCAATTAGGCCAATAAGTTTCCATTTGAGTCCATTACAATAGACTGTTGTTGTGATCCATCTGCTCTATACAAGAGACATTTCTCGGAAGTACACATGTGTAGTGTTCCCTCTGGATTCTCAAATGACCACAATAACTGCGGCCGTTCACGTGTACAGTAGTCGCTCTGCAATTAACTTGTCGGCGTAAACAAGGCGATCGGGGAGAGACTAAGCAGGCTCCGGAGCGATGCCCTGGAACTGCCTGGCACCAACAGCACCTCGCGCTATTTTTAGAGATCCCCATTTTTCACAGCGAGCGCTTCATCAGAGTGGGCTAAATATAACCCAAATGGATGACAGCCAGAGGAGTAAAAACACACGGCTTTGGGTATTTGCGGACGCATTATTTGCATGGCTTCATCTTTCAAAACTTTGTCCCCGTGTTTTGTGCGGCGGAAAGAAAGTTGTTTTTCCGCTCTACGACTTCTGCTGAACATCGTAACTGGGCGTGATTAGGAGCTGGACGTGAGTTTAACTGCAGTTCATGTCCACAATTCACTTACAATTCACTATCTTTACAGCGTGTATCGTAACTGAACTATGGACTATTGTGGGCATTTTTCATAATGTTTCTAGAAATTGACCAATTATATACAATTACAATTATTAGGGGCGACAGTAGCTCAGTTGGTAGAGCATTGGCCTTAAGCCCAGAAGGTCGTGGGTTCAATTCCCACCTCTGCACCTTCTCCACCGATTCCCACTGATGACTGCTGTCGTTGTGTCCTTGGGCAAGACACTTAACCCCACTTTGCCCAAAGCCCCCACTGAAAGATCAAGGCTATGCTCACACTCATAGAGCAGCCGTCCTCCTGTGGACTCACCACCTGCAGAGGGTCAATGAGGGGCTGGTGCTATGAGACTTGGGTGGCATCTCTGATTGCCACCCCCCTGACCCAGAAATGGATTAAAGGGTAGAAAATGGATGGATGGATGGATATATACAATTATATATATTATTGATCAAGATCTATTTGGCTTGTTATACTACTTCAATCTCACATGTAAAAAACGACCGCAGAATCAAATAGTGTAGCCCCAGGAAGACGATCGACCACTTGTGGATTCTTAACGGGAATCCAAATAAATAAATATCGGCTTTATGAAGGCACTTCACATGGCAATATTCAATCACTCCATACACAGTGGCTACTATTGTAGCCACAGCTGCCCTGGGGCACACTGACAGAAGCGAGGCAACCAGTATGTGCCCTCAGCCCCTCCCACCACAAGGTTTTTTGATAAATAAAAAATAAAAACTGATTGTGCTTGAATGTTTTGTAAACATAAAACATGTAATATGAAAAGTACAATCCAATAAACATTTGATTACAACAAAAGGACGAGCATTAGGTTTGTCTGATTTGTGAGCATGTTGAGGATAATAAAACATGATGGAAAAGTCGCCTGATTCAATATTGCGGCGTACACATCTCCAGGTCTCTCTCGATATGGAGATCATGCACAGCTGTAGCACCCACATCACGTTATGTAACAGACAGACTCACCCAGAGCCGAGGAAACGTGCCGCACTGTCGCAAATAACACCACTATTGTGTTGCTTCCTCACCAATAACTACACTGTGAGGACAACTTTCACACTGACAACACAACCGAACGCAGGTTAGAGGAGAAAGGCTGTTCTCACGACACACGACAAATGTGCACTGCAAAAAGGGAGTCAAAAATTGCTTAAAACTCTTAATTTGAGCTGATTCTGACTGCCTTAAAACAACATTTCCAAATGAGACGAAGGAAAATTATCTTGTTTTACAAGGATAAAAGAAATGTCTCCCTTGGAATGAGGAAATAAAGCAACAGTTAATGAAATAAGACTTACAGTAAATGGTTGTCCCAAAAATCTTGTTTTAACAGTCTGAATGTGCTCTGATTAGGATAAAAAAATACTTGATTTCATGCAATTATACCTTGTATAATATTACTTTTTGCAGTGTATTTTGAAATTTAGATAAGAAATTCATCTGATGTTAAGTTTTTGTTTAATTTAACTATGAAATCACATGTGTCCACTGACTACTGTGAACTAAAAATATGCAGTATTTTATATTTGTTTCTTTATAACGCTAAAGACTTAGGGTCATTATTTATATTTAATTATTTACTTTATTTACTTTTATTTTATAGAGTTGTTCACTTATCTTGTCCTGTGTGCTCCTCTTTCCTACTGTTCTGTAACTGGTGATGCAACACTGACATTTCCTCACTGTGGGACAAAGGATACATGCAAATATTGGAAAGCAGGGACATTTTTATTACAAAAACAACTACTTTTTTAACCCATGTCAACTGCACCTGGAAGCTTTTTCAATCTCTCTCAATAAAACAAAAAACACCAAAGATACTTAAGAAAATTACACCATTCACAATAGTAATGGTCTAAAAGGGTTCAAGCCTTGCCTTTTGTACCCGACTTGTTGCCATGGCGACCTAGTACATTCACACGTGAAGGAATACGTGGGACTTCAATGCAATTACGACGCTGTGAATATCGCTTCATTCCAAAAACGTCAATGATTTTAAACCCCTTGGTCTACATTAACACAATCAACAACTAGTTTTGTAGCTGGACAGAATAGGAAAATGAGAGAATGAGATGAAAGAGGAGGAAAAAAAATGGATGACAACAGAAGAC